GGCAGGAGGAGCAGGCGTGATGAGAAGGGGAAGGATAATGATGGATGATGATAATGATCACGATGATGAGGATGATGATGATGATGAGGAGGAGGAGGATGGTGATCTGATGATGATAATGATGATGAACATGATGTTGGTGATAATGATGATCGTGTGGATGATGATGATGCTGTTGATGATGATGACTATGAAGCTGATGATGATGAGGAGGAGGATGAGGATGAGGATTATGATGAATCATGGTGGTAATGACGATGATGATATTGATGGTCATGATGATGAGGATGACGGTGATTATGCTGATGATGATGATTGTGCGACTGATGATGATACAGGTGATGGTGTTGATGCTGATGCTGTCGATGACGATGGTGATGCTGATGATGCTTGTGGCGATGATGATGAGTATGATGGTGCGGCTGCTGCTGATGATGATGACGATGGTGATGATGGCGGTGGTGGTGATGATAATGATGACGATGCTGGTGATGGTGATGGTGATGATATTGGTGATGGTGGTGGCGATGATGGTGACGATGATGTTGATGATGGTGGAGACGATGCCGATGATGATGCTGATGATGCTGCTGATGATGATGGTGACGATGATGATTGTGATGGCGATGACGATGATGGTTATGATGACGACTATGATGATGGTGGTAAAGATGATGAGGATGAGGATACGATGATGGAGACGGTGATGATATTAACGATGTAGATGGTGATGACGATGTTGGTGATGTTGGTGGTGATGATGATGATGCTGGTGATGATGATGGTGACGGTGATGGTGATGGAGATGATGATGCTGATGATGGTGATGATGATGACGGTGGTGGTGATGGTGATGGTGACGAGGAGTATAAGGATGGTGAGGATGATGATGATGATGACGATGACGATGGTGATACCGATGATGATGGTGGTTGTGATGATGATGATGATGATGATGAGGATGATGATGATGCCGATGGTGATGTCGGTGATGGTGCTGATGATGCTTACGATGCACATGATGGTGATCATGATAATGATGGTGGTGGTGATGATGACGACGATGCTGCTGATGATAGTGACGACGATGACGATTACGATGCTCATGATGATGCTGATGATGATGACGATGATGAATGTGATGTCGACGATGATGATAATTACGCCGACGATGGTGATGGTGATGCTGATGATGGTGATGATGGTGGCGGCCAAGATGAGGATGAGGATTCTGATGGTGGTGATGATTATGTTGATGTTGATGATGATGATGACGACAATGGGGATGCTGGTGGTTACATTGATAGTGCAGAGCATGCTGATAATGATGATGCAGATGGTGATGACGATGGTGATGGCGATGGTGAGGGTGATGGTGATACGGAGTATGATGATGAGGAGTATGATAATGGTTAGGTCTGATGACGATGATGATGATGATGTCGATGCTGGTGATGGTGATGATGATGATGTTGACGCTAACGATGACGATGCTAGTGGTGATGCTGATGATGATGGTGGCGATGATGATGATGATACTGGTGTTGATGTTGATGATGATAGTGATGGTGGGGGTGATGGTGATGCGGAGTATGATGATCAGGAGTATAATGACAATGATGACGATGACGATGACGATGCTTTTGTGAGTGATGACGGAATTGTGATAAGTATGATGACGATGATGATGATGCCGATGCTGGAAATGGTGATGATGATGATAATGATGTTGACGCTAACGATGACGGTGCTAGTGTTGATGCTGATGATGATGGTGGCGATGATGGTGAAGACGATGATGACGATGATGGTAATGGGGATGATGCCGATTTTGATCGTCACTATGATGTTGCTGATGATGGTGAAGGTGATGATGATGATGATGAGGGTGACGCTAACGATGACGATGCTAGTGGTGATGCTGATGATGATGGTGGCGATGATGATGATGTTGATGATGATACTGGTGTTGATGTTGATGTTGATGCTGCTGATGCGGGCGACGACAATGATGGTGACAATGATTGTGCTGGACATGATGACGATGATGATGCTGAGAATCATGGTGATGTTGATGGTGATAATGATGACACTGACGATGATCACGATGATGATGATGATGACGACGATGACGGTGATGATGCTGATGGTGGTGATGATGATGACGACGACGATGGTGATGATGGTGATGATGCCGATCTTGATGGTAATGGTGATGTTGCTGATGATGGTGAAGGTGATGACGGTGTTGACGCTAACGATGACGATGTTAGTGGTGATGACGGTGACGATCATGGTGGCAATGATGATGATGATGATGATGATGATGATGATGATGATGATGATACTGATGTTGATTATGATGCTGCTGATGCGGACGACGACAGTGATGATGACAAGGATTGTGCGGGACATGGTGACGCTGATGATGCTGATGATAATGTTGATGGTGACACTGCTGACAATGACGATGATGGTGATTATGACGATGACGGTGATGATGATGGTGATGGTGATGCTGTTGATGATGACAATGGTGATGATGATGCTGATGGTGGTGATGATGATGACGATGAAGATGACGATGACAATGACGATGCTGCTGGTGATAATGATGATGATGGTAGTGAGGGCTATGATGAAGATGACGATGAAGGTGATGACGATGACGATGATGATGTTCACGATGCTGATTGTGGTGATGATGATGGGTATGGCGTCGGTGATGGTCATGATAAAGATGACGATGACGATGATGGGATGATGATCACGATGATGATGATGATGATGATGAGGATGATGATGATGATGATGATGATGATGATGATGATAACGATGGTGCTGATGATGATGTTGGCGATGCTGATGCCGATGATGATGATGATGATGCTGACGATGGTTGTGGTGATTGTGATGATGATGCTGATGATGCTGATGATGCTGATGATGATGATGATGAATGATGCTGCTGCTGATGAGGATGCTGATGATGCAGCTGCTGCTGCTGATGAGATGCTGATGTTGATGTTGATGCTGCTGATGCTGATGTTGATGATCATGATTGTGGTGGTGATGATGCTGGTGATGATGATGCTGATGGTGGTGGCGGTGATGTGGTTGTGATGATGATGATGAGGATGATGATAATGTTGATGTTGATGATGATGATGATGATGATGATGATGATGATGATGATGATGACGACGACGACGACGATGATGATGATGATGATGATGATGATGATGATGATGATGATGATGATGATGATGATGATGGTGAGGCAGAGGAGGAGCAGGAGGAGGAGGAGGATGAGGAGGATGAGAAGGAGTTGGAGTAGGAGGCTGAGGAGGAGGAGGTGGAGGAGGAGGAGGATGAGGATCACCTCTCGCCTATCCTGCTCCCTGCAGGATCACCGGGCTGCCTGGCCGCTCGCGGGGGCGGTCGCCAGCGCAACTGCGCTCGGGCGTCGGGCGCAGCGACGGTCAGGTGTCAGCGGGGGGAACGCCACCCCGACCCCCATGGCTACAGTGGAGACCCATGCCAAGAAATACCCTGCTTGCCTCCAGGCTGCCCTGGGTTTCTTGGGATTCGATGGTTTTGCGATGGAAAGCGTGCCGTCCCCACGCCAAGCCAAGAATCAATGGACGTCCTGGGATCTCAGGGTTGGGTTTCTTGTGGAGGGTTTCTTGCGGGCGGGCCCCTACTGCACTGTTTCCTGAACTCGGCTCGACTCGAGGAGGGAAAAACAACTTCGGGGTGCCTTTCCTATCCTGTCACTGGCAGTCTGTTCTTGTACTCCGACGTGTGCAACCGACGCGGATTCGACACAGATCCGACACGGACTCGATGCGTTCCACACGGACTCGACACGAGGGGCCAGCGCTAATGGACGGACGATTTGCAAAGATCTCCAAACGTGCAAGAGAAGGACACAATATGGACGTTTCGCGTATCCCCATCAGTTTCGGCCTGCCCCTGCTTGCACGGCGTTCGACTCGTTTCGCGCGCCCGCGTCCCAAAACAAATCTCCATCAGCCCATCCAGAAACGATTGCCAGGAGAGTTGTTCTGATCAGAGAAACGTAAACGAACGCAGTGAACTTGCCGCGTTGGAAACGTGTCGGGGGCGCAGAAGTTGTGGGAACGTGTGTCGAATGATTTAACACGTGTTCCCATGCCGCAGCGGTTGCGTTGGGTTCTTCGGGTGTCGGCTGGGTTCAAGAGCTGGATTTCTCCATGCTGGTCTTTCACTCGTGTGACTGCTGGGGCGAAAGAAGAATAGGCAACGCTGGGTCCCTGCAGTTGAAGCATCGGTAGAGCACTGGCATGCGCGGTCGCCTGCGGCCGGCAGCGTGCGCGCCCGCGTCTCACCGACGGGGTGTTCTTGTTCAGTCCTGTGTGGTGACGTACAGTCATCGGCCTGACCTTATCCTAAGGAACGAGAAATAAGGAACGAAGCCCCTGTTTTCCAAGGAATAACCCATAAGGAACGATATCTAATACGTAACGCATCAGGAAGGACAAAGAACGCATGCAAGCCTAAGGAACGACCGATCCCCTTTTGAAAAGTAAGCGTTCCTTATTCGGGCCGCTCCCTGTACTGTGTTGTGGAATTTTGCAGCATTGTTTTTTCTCGCACGGCTGTTTCGGTTTATTCCCTGGCTCTGCAGCGGAGTCGGCATGGTTGGGTAACGTTGTGAAGGTAGGCGTGCTGCGGCCCCCTGCGGCTGAGGGCATGAGCGCACGCGCGCCAGCGCTGGCGCGCGCGCCTATCCTACCAGCGCGTGGCTCTTCCCCCGCACTCATTCCCCCCCCGGCAACGCATCTCAGCTTCCTACCCCGTCCCGCCCTCCCTCCCTCCTCCACCTTCCTACCGGAGCACCGATGAGCGTGGTATGTAGGGCTGATGTGTGTCGTCGCTCTGTTCTGTGAACCAGCGCAGTGCTGCTGAGCATGTTTCGTACCCGATGATGTTGCATCGCCACTGAGTCAAGACCATTTGAGCAAGTGCTGCTCCGACAGCACCTCCGGCTACCCCTGGAGCTCCACGGCCAGATGAGAACTAGTATTCAAAATGCCCCATGTGCTGATCACTTGTATCTGCAGGTTCTCTCCAGGATACCCTCCATCAAGCGCGCGTGCACGTTCGTCAAGAGAAGGGTGCGATCTGGAACCACGTGGGGGATGTGTGAAGATGCGATGCGAGAAGCACGCCGGCGGCCAGACAGGTGGGCGGCCCGATCCTGGAGGGCCCAGTCCCCGCCGACATGGAGACGGCCATGGCGACGCCCGACTTGGGCGCCTTCCTCGCCAAGGCAAAATCTTTCCTCCGTCCCCCCCAATCCTCCCTCCTGGCTGGGGTCATCCTCCTCCTACCTCTCCTACCTCCCATTCCTCTCTCCCCTCCCCTCCTCCTGCCTCCTCTCCTCCCCTCGATCCTCCTCCTCCTCCTCATCCTCCTCCTCTCCTCCTCCTCCTCCTCCTCATCCTCCTCCTCCCCTCCTCCTCATAATCCTACATCATCCCCCTCCATCCCTCTCCTCCTCCTCCCCTCCTCCTCCCTCCTCCTCCTTCACTCCTTCCTCCTCCTCCTCCCCCTCCTTCCTCTCTCCTCCTCCCTCCTTCTCTCCTACCCCCCCTCCTCCTCCTCCTCCCTCATCTCCTCCTCCTCTCCTCTTCCTTCCCCTCCCCCCCTCATCCCTCTCTCCCCTCCTCCTCCTCCTCCTCCTCCTCCTCCTCCTCATCCTCCTCCTCCTCCTCCCCCTCCCCCTCGTCGTCCTCCTCCTCCTCCTCCTCCTCCTCCTCCCTCAAGCAACTTGGGCTCGAGCGGGCGAGGGGCCCCAGGAGGCCCACTTGCCCTCTTGAGTTCGTCCCTGGGCTTCCCAGCAGCGTTTGAGGGACTGTGTCTTTTCTGCGTGCCAGCCAAGAAGAGGCACCGACCAACACAGGGACAGACGCAATGGCGGGCGTCCACCAGCTGTGGACCAGATGCATGCAATGTCAGACGTGCGAGTGGAACGGAGTATTGGCCCGCCGCCACAACATCTGCAGCGGGTGCGGCAACGAGGTCAAGCCATTCGAGAGGAAGAGGAAACCGAGGCGAGTTCAGTTCGTGGACGAGTACGGCGACAGCGACGCCGACGGCTTCTACGACGCCACCAGCGGCAGCGAGAGCGAGCGCCCGCAACCACGGCGCCCAGGCATCTTGAAGGGCCCTGTGGGGAGCGGGCTCGGAGGCGGCAAGGGCGGCAAGGGGGGCAAGTCAGTGAAGAGCCTCCTGGAGCAGGCCCTGGCAGCCGCCACCGACTCCACGCTCAAGGTGGACCTCCAGGCGCAGCTGGACAAGCTCGCCAAGGAGGAGAGCGGGCGGGAGGCCGCCAGGATCACGCCCGCGGAGGCCCTGCGCAGGGCCGATGGGGCGTGGAGGAACGCGGAGCACCTCCACAGCCAGGCGGTTAGCAATGTCATTCGCCTCCGCAGCAATCTGGCAGCTGCGGAGGCGAAAGAGAGGGCGGCAGCCATCCACTTGGCCGAGACCACCGAGGCCAAGCGAGCAGCAGCCACGGCCTTGGCTAAGGCCGAAGGGGTCACCGAGGCCAAGCCTAGCCCCGACGGCGAGAAGAAGATCATCACGCTGGAGTGGGACGACAGCTTCTTCACGAACCTGGCGGCGCTGGACGCCACGGACGCGGAGAAGAAGGCCCTAGAGGAACTCCGAGGCCAGTTGCAGGGCGCCAAGGAGACCCTCACGGGCAAGGAGGCCGAGATCCAGAAGTGGTTGGAGGCCATGCAGCAGCATCGGCACACCATCGAGGAGCGGGCGAAGAAGAAGAGACGCGCGCCTACTGACGGCGCACCTGAGGAGGCGGCCACAGCGGCGGCTGGCGGCGGGGGCCAGGGGGCCCCTCCTGCGGCGGCGGCATCGGCGGCGGGGACCACCCCAGGCGGCGGCGGCGGCGCGGCGGCGGCAGCTGACCCCTCAGACGCCGTTAAGGCGGAGGCGGAGAGGCTGTCCGCGGCCAAGTTCCTGGCGCAGCAGGCGGCGACGAAGGCGAAGGGCAAGGGCACCGCCAGTGGTGAGGCCGCTGGGGCGCCTGCAGATCCCTCAGCTTGACGGTGTCGGACGGGGACCCCTCGGACCCACAAGACCGAGGGGGCAGGCAGTGACGAAGGGGAATGCACTAGGCTATTCTATTCGAACGTCACCTGCCTAACGGACAAGGTGTGGAAGTACGTACAGGAGCACGTGGGAGCCTACGACCACTGGATCATGACTGAGACTCACATTCACCGCGAGTCGGATGTCAAGAAGTGGACCGAGGCAAGCCGGGCTCTCAACCTTCGCATGATCATGAATTCGGCCCGCCGCACCTCGAAGGTGGTGTCTAAGGCCAAGGAGGCGCACTCGAACGAGGGAGGTGAGGTGTTTTTCTCCCGCAAGCACTTACAGAGCCAACAGCTGCCCGAGGCGAGGGCTGCTGCCAAGTACCTCAAGGCGCCGAAGCAGTCGGCGTACGACGGATTCTGCCCAGTGATACTGCAGCAGCACAGCTACGCGATCGTGGTGGTCGCCCTGTACGCGCTGCCGTCCATCAAGATGACGGGCAGGAACATCGAGAGATTCAACCGACTCGGTGGACTACTCCGTTCACTCCGAGTCCCGTGGCTGGTCATCGGCGACTTCAACATGACGCCAGACGAGCTCAAGCGCACGGCCTTCCACAGAGTGACGGGGGGCCTTGTGCGTGTCCCAGCTGGAGTTGAGGGCACATGTGCCCAGAAAAAAGGACCAGACACAATGATCGACCTTGTTTATATGAGCGCTGCCGCGTCCTCATTCATCCAGAGTCTAGAAGTAGTCAGAAGCGCCCCGTGGAAGCCTCATCTCGGTCTAGCCTTGAGCCTACGAGCTTCGGGCCAGACCCTTAGGACGCGTGAGATTTCCCTGCCCCCGAAGTTGCCCCAACTCCCGAGGCCTCGGTGTGAGCCCACTCCTGGATCCAAGTCCAGCCAGGCCAGGTCCGTTGCGGCTGTTAAGCGCCAGGAGGCTCACGCCAAGAGGGTCGCGGGTTTTCAGGAGGCCTTCGGGGATGTTTTGGAGCCCCCTGTGCAACTTGGGACATCACGTTCCCAGGTGGCTGAGGAGGCCGATCAGGACCCTGATCTGGACCACGATTTTTTGGCCTTCCCTGAGGAGGAGGAGGACCCCTGGGCCCACGAGTTTAATTTGTACTGACTCACGCCTTGGGAGCGAGCTGTCGTCTGATGGATCGGGTGCGGTCGGCGCATCGGCCGTCGGAGACAAAAAGCTCGATGCAGTCAATGTGAGTGTCAATTCGTCGGTATGTGAGGCCCAACCCCTTCCCCCCTCGGCGGTTTCAAGTAACCCCTTAGTTAGCAGCAACGTAGGTAGTAGCAGTGTTCAGTCGCATCGCCCCGACCCCTTCCAGCAGGATGCCCCCTCGTGCCCCGTGGTCGAAGATGTGCCCGACCCTCCGTTTGAAATTCCTGCGTCCACGTGGGCCGAGGCTCGACAGCAGGTGGGCTTTCGGTCGGGAGCGGATGCCGTGGCGAGTCTCTCCCCTTTCCTTTCCTCCTCCGTAGCCTTTTCGCTTGAACCTGCTCGCGGAAAGCTCCTCACGGGGCAGTGCGCAACTTGGGTGACGGCGGTCGAGCAGGCTTTCCATACACACCATCATGTCAGGCCCCCTGCTGGGCCCACGCGCGCCGTGGGGCCCAGGATCCATGAGAAGCCCATGAGGGTCACTGCCCATGTTCGGGAACTCGCCCTTCATGATCAACGTAGCCAGTGGTGGACGCGCGTCCACACGGTGCTCGCTGGAGTCCTCAGGCACCAGTGCAGGGACAACGGCCAGCGCCAGCAGCAGGAGTACGGCAAGGCAAGTACCCTTCTACGGCAGTCCAGGCCTGAAGGGGTGCACAATCTACTGAATGCGGGTCGCGAGGCCCCGTGGGACCAGTGGCTGGCAGTCCTCGGTGACCCGAGTCGGTTGTCGACCCCAGTGCTGGAGAACTATGTCATTGCAGCAAAGCGTGTGGCCAGCAGGGCTCAGCGCGCGGCAGTTCACGAGTCGATCTCCAACTTCAAGACCTTTGTGATGCAGCCAGAGGCCGTGGGCATCCTCCACAAGTCGCTGAAGGCGAACCCACTACCACCGAGTGAGCTGGAGGTGGGGGATCGCACCCTCGTTCATCCAGCCGACATCATGGAGCATAAAGCGGTGACCTTCAAGCGGATGTGGGCTCCACGGCCCCCTGACGTCAGCGAGATTACGGAAGTGTTTCGACTCATTCGAGAAGCGGCCCAGGGTGATGATCTTCCTGAGCTTACCCCAGACCTGGTGTACGCCAGCGCCAAGGCCATGAAGGCTAAGGCAGGGCTGGGGGTGGATGTTCTGAGCCCAGTCGACTTTCAACGCCTCCCTCGTGAGGCCATGGAGGAATTTACAGACATTTTGAAGAATGCAGAAGCCTTGCTCGCTTGGCCAGCTCAGACACAGCTCATCGTGACCTTCTTGACTCCCAAGAAATCCCAGGGCGACAGAGGCATAGGTATGATACCTATGATAGGCCGCCTTTGGTCACACGTTCGGGAACCTATAGTTAAGCAATGGAGCAAGGATGAAGAACAGGCATGGGATGCCGCAGTTGCTGGGAACAGTTGTTTACGCGAAGCATATCTTCATGCCATTGATGAAGAGGTAGCGCACTGGATGCGAATGGAATTTGGTCAAGGACTGCTTGACATTCAGGAATTTTATGATTCAATACCTTGGCTGCCCCTGGCGAGGGCGGCCTTGAGGCTCCATTTCCCACCAGTCATTTTATATTTGGAGCTCCTTCAGTGCATCACGATGCGGACGTTATCCCAGGAGGGAGCAGTGTGCACCCCCTTCGAGCCCTGCCAGTCAGTCATCCAGGGGCTGCGAGGGGGAACCAGATTCGCCAAGATCCTCACCCACTTCGTGATGCAGGTGGTGGTTACGGCGACACCCAGGATGAACCACCGCGTTTGGATAGACGATATCTGCCAGAAGATCACGGGCTCACGCCAGGCAGTAAGGGCTAACCTCATACGCGGAGTTGTGAAGGCGGGCCAAGAGCTTGCCAAGGCAGGCCTCAAGTTGGCCAAGAAGTCAGTCGTCATGTGCACGAACGCCGCTGACGCTCGTGCTGTAGCCCGGGCTGCCAAGCTCAAGGGTTTCCCAGTCAGGGCTCTGGCGCAAGCGCCGTACCTGGGGGTGGACTTCAGCTGCGGCAAGCAGGGCCGTGCTACCAGGACGCAGAGACAGAT